AAAGAACCATTGCATATTAAAAATGATTAGCCATGTAACTAGAAAATATTTTAGACATTTAGTAGCGGACTGAAGAACTCTGCCCAGATTCAAATCTTCTAAAATGATCAAATGTCAAATAAACTTGTGGTAGTAGACTGAGGGTTTTCCCATATTAAACTTGAAAATCAAATTTTACTGTATGTCATAATTTTCATTTATTGCTTTCTAGGGACTTAATTTGTAAAATATTAAATGCCAAGGAAATGTTTAATGGAGAATGATTTGGCACAGCGTATCTACTTACAAGTTGAAATACCGCTCATATGTCACATTTAAAAGAATATTGAAATAATTATTTTAATCATTTTATGCTCCTTTTTATATTTGTGAATACTTAGAGTAGTAACTTGGGGCCAAAATGACAGTGTTTCAGAGTTACAAGTTTTGACGTGCTTTTCTAAAGCGATCGACAAAACAGGAACAGGATATTTTAGAAAAAGAAAAAGAAAATCAACCCTGATAATATAAGATGGTTAAGTTAGCAATCACAAAGGTAAACACTTTCTCTTTGTACTTAGTTGTGGTCATGACACCATAAGTTTGATTCTGTCTTTGATTGATGTGGATATCAAATGATACATCTCAGAATTTACTTCTTTACAAAAGAAATTGTGTCTCTTTGAAACAATATTTTTTTCCTCAGAACCAATGTAGACAAGTACAGAGGTACACAAGTAAGAAATCGGCACTGTAGTCAATATCCAAACCAAATTTATCAGAATCTCAAAGAATTGCTCTACACCTGAAACACTCTTGATTATTATGTTACTAAACCTGGAAAAGTAACAATGCAAGTGATAAAAATAGGAACATCGTCAATCATTCCAGTGTTTTAAATATTCATCTGGGCTGTAAGCTTGGTTTGGATATTGACTACAGTGCTGATTTCTTACTTGTCTTACTGTTGTGAGCCGTGTCCAGTATATTCTGGTATATGTGCTTTTATTTTATTACCATTAAACCAATTTTCTTTGCATTCACGCTTTCTTTTTTTCAGATTTCTTTATAAAAAATCTTTAAAGGCCTTATAAATTATGTAATGGGATGCACTATAAACATACTGTGTCAAACTTTTTTAAAACCTTGCTTCTGTCTAGAATCATAACAATTTAAGCACAATTAATAGATATCAGCAAATAAAAAGGACACTCACTGACATCTCATGTTTCTAAGAATAGCTGTCTAGAACAGTATCATCCTACAATGTCTACTTAGCAACCTTCATGATTTCTAATTTGATATTTATTTCTTTGACATTGGTCACCATTACATAATACATATAAAAAGCATGAATTGAAACATTTTCAGTCAAACAGAGCAGGTATTCCTCAAGTATATTGGACAACGAATAGCCTGAAGACTATCAAATCTATTATTTAATAAGTCTAATATATTTTCTGTGACATGGGCCAGCATATAATAAAAATATACGGATAGCAGGATAGCAGTGAAGATCCTGGCAGAAAGCTAGTTCTACATACTTTGGCCATATGGCTTTGTGCAGGTTCCTTACATCCCATTTCTCAGACCTTTGCTCCATAAAATATGGACCATTTCTGTGCCTCTACACTTTCAGTTGTTATTCTGTGGCCAAAGTGAATAATTCTAATAAATTGTTGTATACTGGTAAGTTTTGAGATTCTGAAATTCAAAGGCTAACCCTACGAAGGTGCAAAGGTTTAGCTAGAAGTGAAATAAAAACTGAGGTCCAGCTTTTAAATTTAGCATCTTGTATCCACACCTAATCTAAAAACATGGGCAATGAGGATTTTCTTTTAAAAATATGGCTACATTTAATTTTTAATCCTGAATAAATTCAATGTTGTTACCTCTAGGGTCGGTGTATAAATCCAGTTAGATAAAATTTTATTATGTTTTATCAGCATAGTTAAATAGATATTTTAAAGTAAGACTTCTGTTTTAAAATCATGTTTCCTTTATGAAACACTACTTTGCAGTAATCGGGATGACTAGATTATAGCGAATTAGAAATGAAAGGAGTAAGGGTTGTTTTAGGGAACCAGGAAAATACTAATGTGGCTTTCCCTGCTATATCAGAGATGCAACCAGGGTTATTTAGATCTGAACATATTTAACACTGGAGGTACATATCTTTACTTGAAAAAACAAACTTTGACAATAAAATATTCAAGTGACCATTTAAAAGGTTCTGGAAACCAAATCTTCGTCTTTTTTAAAAAAAAGTCTTTAGTGATTTTTTTAACTCTAGGAAATCTTCGTTTTTTTAAAAAAAAATCTTTAGTGATTTTTTTAACTCTAGGAACTGGGATTATTTATCTACGTGAGTAAAGGGATGCTCTCAAACACTCACTTCAGTTACCCATTGGGGGAAAATAATTAGGAACGTCGGCCCTTTATTCAATGTTGAAACAATATCATATTTTGTTTCATTTTAACCATTTTTCTAGTTCTTATTAGAGATGGGCACTTTTTTCAGAGATTGCCAAAGAAGTGCCACATATGAGTTTGGGAATAACGCAGTTTGACTTGGAGTTTGTGGACATTTAACAAGGGCTCTTTCTACCTTCTGTTCTGTCCCTGGTTCCAACACAAAGCTGCACCTGCCAAGAATCTCGGTCTGTCTCCTCGGAGGACGCCAGGGGTCGCCCCTCTCCCAGCGTTGCGCGGGTATCCAATCCCCAAGCGCAGACTCCACTACAAAGGGGCAAGGAGCTCGGCTCGGCGGAGCTCTCTCCCTCAGACCCACAGCCTACCAATCACTGGAATTTCAACCCCATTCCGTTTATCTCCACTTTCATCGCCCAAACACAAGCAGAGGGCGCCTTTGACCTGGCCTTCAGATGGGTAAGGCGGGTCAAAAAGCAATTCCTCCTTCGTGGGAGCCAGTCGAGTGATGGTCCGGCTGCACCGTGGCCATCTCAGCCAGAGAGGGAGAGAGACATGGGGACAAGTGGACAGCAAGCTTTCTTCCTGTCTCCCTTCACACACAGGGATCCCCCGAACCGCAAAACCAAGCACCACTGACACTTTATTTCTGCTTAGCCTTGGCAAATGTGACACTCGGGTGGGGGGGCTCCTCCTCCACAGGATAACGGAAAGAGTGGGGGTGGGCACCCTGTGCACAAGAGCTGGCCGATGGAGCATGGCAAGCAAGAAGAAGCGACTCTTCTTCCTTTCGGCCTCAGTTTCCCCACAGGCACCTAGACCTAAGCAGAAGAGGAGATGGAGATCTCCAGGCTCGAGGACACCACGGAGCCCCGGGGCAGCTCCTGCTGAACAGCCGGAGCCCAGAGAGTGGGTGGGGGAGTTGGGAAGAAGGCAAAGCAGTCAGAGCCAAGAATAATAAATCGGGTGCTCTGACATGTTTGGTTTCGGCCCTTCTGCACCCCGCGACGCGGCGAGACCGGCCGGAGCCCCTGGAGAAACGACTCGGCCACGTTTTTGTTTGGGGGGGGGATTGCTTTCACCGCCCCCCCAAGGCATTTCCAGGTGAATCGAACCTTGTGTGGCCAAGGCTCTCGGTACAAAGGGAGCTTTGAGGGGACCCCCACGCACAGGGGTACAGGGCCGAGACCCACAGCGGCCGGCCCGAGGAGCCACCACGAAGATTTCCAGCTCACACAAGCTGTGTTGTGTCCTCCGAGCTGCCCGAGCCACGGCTGGCTCGGAGGGGCTTTGCGGCTGGACACTTGGGGTGGGATCCGCCCCGGGGGGTGGGTGGGCTGGGGGTGGGCTGGAAGCGGGAGGGGGAAAGGGGACGAGGCGAGGCCCCCTAGTGCTTGGGAGGATCAGCCCTGAAGGTCTGAGCTTGCCTAGCTCTCGCCACCCCATTAAGCTCTACTTCCTCCCGCTCCCCAGCAGCGCCCCCAGCTAGGCAGCCCGAGTGGCCAGTGCGCCCGCCGACGGGACGGACGGACGGGCAGACGGACTCCCCACGCGGGCACAGACACTTGAGCACCGTGTGCGCCGAGCTGCCCGCGAGCAAGTGGCGATGCCACCCTCCGATCGGCGAAGATGCCACCTCGGTGGTGGAGACAGCCCAACTCGGGTTGAGCCTGCCCCCGCCCCTCCCAACTCCCGCCCCCACCTCCCCATAGCGGGTATCTGTTCAATCCCAACCTGGACACCGTTATATGAAGCGGTGCCGAGTTCATCGCCCAAGGACGAGCGAGAGCAGGCGAGCTCCGAGTGTGGACGGGGCACCCCACCGTCCCGGTGTGCCCATCCCAGGGAGCCACTTGAAAGGGCCCCGCAGGCACAAAGCGCTGGAGGGGCCCCGGAGACTCCGCGTCCCCAGCGAGTTTATCTGGGATCGGACCCCACCCCTGCCCCTGAATCTCCCCGGGGTGGGAAACGTCGGGCCACACTCTGCCCATCCTCAGCCACGCGAAGCCCCCGCGCGCCCTGCGCCATTCGGATCCGCCGGTGCGTGTCGCGGGAGGCCAGCACGCAGCCGCTCGCCCGCGGTGTCCCCGCACGGCCCCGGGTGTGTATGTGTGGGGGGGACAGTTCGCTCCCCAAGAGCAGCCCTGGGGGGCATACCCACCCCGACTGCACCTCTGCAGGGGGCTCGCGCTCTCCACCCCCCCGCATCGGACCCCCCCCAGGGAAGGAGGGAACGCAGAGTCAGAGTGAGCTTCACCGAGGACCCAACCGCAAACGACCGCGGGGCAGGGAGCCGTCCTAGCGCCGTCTGGGCCCCCGCGACGCCAGCACGCCTCGAGGTGCTGGAGAAGAAGCGTGGAGAGCCATCCACAGCCACTGCGCCCCAAGTGTTCTCGCCGGTGGGAGGCGTGGGGCGCAGGGTGGGCGGACTGTGAACAGCGGAGCGCAGATTCAGGAGAGGCAAAGCGCCCCGACAGGTGAACGCGTTGGGGGAGAGCCAAAGCACCCACCCACCCCCCCACACACACACCAACAATCAACAACCACCAGGCGCCCACAAGCAAAGTCCCCCCCCCCCTCCCAGCACTTACTTCTTCGCTGGCGCCTTCCTCGTGGAGCGTTTTGGCTGCCAATGTATTCCAGAAAGTTCAAGATGATAAAAAACCAAGAAATCAGTCGCAAGTGCATAGTAACCCAGTAACGTTTCCCTTCTTCCTTCTCCTTGTTGTCTGGGTGCTGGGTGGGTGCGGTTGCAATGTTTGTCAAGGGTGTGGAGGTGCCCGGCGGTGTCTCTGCGTGGAGAGGCGGCGGGACGCGTGGGGCTTCTCCACTCAGAGCCCCGCGGCGTGCTGGGACGGCCAGCGAAGCGGGGCGGATGGACCGGGGAACCGACGATGGCAACTTTCAAGTTGGCCGACCCTGGACGGCTCCGCGGGAGTGGCTGTCATCGCGGCGCACGCAGCTGGGGAGAGCGGTGGCGGCGGCGGCTGCAGGTAGCATCCTTGGGCGGCAGGTTCCAGGCGAGCGGCCGCGGTGGCCGCAGCGGAGCCCCCACCCCCCCACCGCCCCCACTTCGAGCTCAGAGGCTGCGGCGGCCGCGGCAGTGGCGGGGACCCCGGGAGCGCCGGGGAGCGGGCGCCGTGGGCACCGCGGCCATGGCCAAGGGATCGCGGAGAGACCCTGAGCTGCTTCTGGCGTGGTCGAGCCCGAGTCAATCCAGTGTTGGTTGGGCAGGGCTCCCGGGAGCTCCCCATAGGGGAGGAGGGGGAGGGAGGGAGGGAGGGAGGAGTAGGGGGGATGACTGCGGGGGGGCGGGGGGAGGGAGGGGGCGGGGAAGGAAACTGCTAGAGCAACAACCCTGAGCGACCTCAATAACTTTCAATTTCAAGAGGGAAAGAGGGAGCTGGAAAAGTACAGGCGTTGCGATTTGGCAGAGGCCCGGGGAAGAGGCGCCTGAGGGGTCCCGGGTCTGCGGCGGAGCATCTTTGGACACGACGGCAAAGACCAGAGAGGGGACCCGAGCCCGAGGCAGGGTGGCGGGGTGGGGGTGGGGGTGGGGGTGCTGCGTCCCGAGTGGAGTCACCGAGAAGGGTAGCTGTGGCGGGGCGAGGTGGGCGCGATGGGACTGGAAGGGTTTCAGGCCGACCATCCAGCGCGGCGTCCCAGACCCCTGGGTCTGGCCGCACCCAGCTCTAGGTGGCCTGGCTCCTGCGCGCTCCAGTGCTCCACCTCCCCCAGCGACCGGTCCTAGGCAGTGTGCCCCTAGCCCCTGTGGCAGATCGCCGCCGCCGGAGGGCTGCTGGTGGCAGATTCTTCCCCAGCTTTCCTGAGCCTCTTCCCCGCTCCTCCACACCCTCTTAGGCAAAGTGGCTTGCAGTTGGATGCTGGATGGGTGGTTCCGGAGCTCCATGGGCGGCTGACCTTCAGCTTGGCCGCGGTTTACCTGCTCCGAAAAAGGGAGGCCCCAGAGCTGGGGACCCTCCGGACCGTCTGGTTTGGAAATGTGCTTTCTTGCTGCAGCCTTAGCTGCAGCTCTGGAAGATTCCTCCTCTCTCAGGCAATCCCCTCAGTAGTCAGCTCAGCCCCTCTTGTCTCCCAATGTTCTTGGAGGATTTGGTGTACATGTTGGATCCCGGAGCTGGGGAGTTGAAAAAATATGAAGAAAGATTTCCCAGTCTTGAGGAAGGAGAAATTCCATTACGTCCTTCTGTTTCAAGTGCATATGGGAAGCCATAGGAGAAGACAAACAGGTTCCCTGGACCAAAGAGGGCTGGCAGGAAGAACCAAGAACAGGCCTGTACCTGTGATATGTATCACATATATCAAACATATATATATATATATATATCACATATATAGCATATGTACTACATCTATTATAACTATGCAACTATAGGAATATATATAGTCCAAGTGTATAGTAAGATAGCTTTACATAGTCACAGCACTGAACTTTGGAGAGCCATGATGAAGTCTCTGATTCCTGGACACCTTGCTAATCCTTACACTCAAATAAGTTTAGCAAAATCTCTCAAGTCGTCCTGGAAAACTATAAAGTCTTGCATGATTGAAAGCAGATTTGTCTTCAATTTATGTGCCAGTGAATTAGAGGTGAGACAAAGGTTATGGCCTCTATCTGTCCCATTTTGCAAGCTTCCACTGCACCTGATAGTTACACATCCCTGGAGTCCTTTATTGGGAGCACCCCAGTAGTGCAACTGATCTGTTGAAATGGCCTAGATGCAAAAGAATGGGAAATATATATATATATATATATATCATCCATATATATATATATATAATACTTTTCAAGTTTTCAAGGTGCTAAAAATTTGAATCTTTGGAGCTGGCATCTTGGTGTTAATTCTTTAATTCAGTACTATTTATTGTCTGCATACATGTGTTGGAAATCTGAAAACAGGAATAATTTCCATTAAGCATGGTACAAAAGGAAGGCAACAACCCTATCAGACTTTTTTTAAAAAAGAATTTTTATTTACCACATTCCTCCTTCAGTGGTAGAAGCTTCTGAACATTCTGCCCCTCTTTCTCCAGGCCTCACCCCAACTGGTTGCATAATTTCTAATTGTGAATGATCGAGTTTATCACTCTGGACTAAAAAGTTACAGCCAACCAGCCAATTCCAATAATGATTATTGAGAAGACACTCAGTTGTTGTCCCTCCCCATCAACATTCCTCCCCACCTCTTTTATATTTTCCTAATAGCTCAGATCCTGAATAGCTGCACGATAAAATATGGGGGGGTTTAAAGGGTATGGAAGGCTCCCTTTGAAAATGGCTCCAGAGAGAGTCTCTCTAATCCACAATACTTGAGCTGGACGGGATGAGATTGCAAAAAAAGGATGTAAAAAAGCAATTTGGTGAACAACTTAAGGGAAATAAACATGAAGAAAGACACTTACTTTTCACTGTGTGTTGTGCAGACATATGTTAGTTTGGATGAGAACAGGAATGGCAGTGTAAGTAAATAAACAAACCCAGGGAGAAGCTACAGTTCTTGAGCTATCCCAGAAAAGAAGTGTTTTCCTGCAGTATGCAGGAAAAGCTTGTCAAGGAGTTAGTGCTCTTCAGAGGAAACATAAGGAAAACATTAAATAAATGAGAATATTCTTTCTTTCTTGATGCTATGCATTAGAATAACTTTTTATCTCTTTCGGGTTACAGTATTACTAAATGTGTGCTAATTTGCCTGCTGAGTCTTACATTCCCTCAACTACTAACAAAGGTTATGATAGACATACCATGTCCTATGTCATGCTAAAAAATCTACTATTTTTAGACCTAACACCTATTGTTGCTTCAATAAGGAAAACAATGCTCACTAAAGCCTGTGGCTGGATATAGACATTGCAGTTGAAACTTTAAGCAAGTTAAAAGCCATAAAGGTCAACATTTATTTCTTAATTTTTTCCCAACAAATCATTAGTCACAGGAAATTTGTTTAAACCAATAGTTTAATAAGAGACTGTGGCTAAGACAATAGAATAGTTTGGGATAAAGATAGAGGGTTAAACATATGCAGAATTTCACTGCAATTTCTCACTCTTCTCTACCCCCCCCCCTTCGCCTCCAGCCTGTGACAACAGTAACAAGTTATTTTTATCCATTGTGGCAGTGGCACTTAAAGGAAAGAAAATGAGTGTCATATTGTTGAATCCATACAGCAAATATGTGGAAGGGGGCGTGCTCCAGAAAGGGAAAGCAAGCCCAATACTTTGGAATGGGCTGCAACTAGTAGTGATGAGAGATGTTTGGCAAAGTTGGAGCTGACATCAGTCATTATACCACAGAGTTAATGTGCATGCAGATTCTGAAAATGCTCAACTCTCCAGTTGCTCAGATCTGGAGACATCTGAGTATGTAAGTCAAACAGGGTAGTGCTGGCAGGGTCTGTGTTCCTAATGCAGCTAGAAATCATCTCTTGATCATGGAGAAGACAGCAGTATTTAAAAGCCATTGAAATTAGTAGATGAAGGAAAGCTACTATTTTTAGACAAAGAAAGGCCCATAGAATTACTATAGCAGTTTAAAAAGTGACTAAATGTTATATAGAGTTAAGAAAATGAGAAAATCAAGACCCACAATGGATTTCTTTCTGTCAACAAGAAAGAATGTCTTCCACTTAGATGAAGTTATGGGACATTTATCATGTTGTGTTGAGTATTGTGGGGCATGCCTAGGTTTTCTTCTAAACTTCTTTCTCTCGCAAACCAGTTAATTGCTGGGATCACTTAAGTGAATATCTACTATAAGGATTTTATTATCTCAGAAAATATGCTCAGTTACAGAACTTTCATATAAAGAGGCTGGCTGTGTGTTATTGTAGGAGGCTCTGGTTGAGGAATCTGAGGATCATGGTGAGTCCTTGTTTTGTCATTTTATTGTGTCCCAGGTTTCTTCATCTGAAAATGAGGAAATTCAATGAAATGATTTCCAAAGTCTTTGTTAGCTCTGCAAATAATGGCAGGATCTTAAAAAAAAAAGACAGACTTGTAATTGCAAATGTCAAAGCTATTTCTAGTTGTGTGACATCACAGCTTTTACTTACAGAGTTCTGTTTAATTGACCAGATCCAGATTTAGAAATCTTCTTTCAAATGCGTTGATTTTCTGGAAATGCCTAAGACATTACAAGAATCCAAGATGACTCTGACCCAGCAGAGATAAATCCAGGACTAGTTTAATCTGTCTAGATGTCTGTAGACTTTGGGATACAAAGGAAGAACAAATTTTAAAATTCTAGGCAAACTCCTAAAGGGAGTAGGGAAAAGGACCGTTGTTTCTCATGGAAGTGCCAACTCGTTTGGTTTGCTTTTAGGAATCAATGCTGTGGGAAGAACATAGACTTTATTATTGAATAAGGGCTGTCCTTTTCATTTATTCTACTTCTTACATTTTCAGAATAAAAAATCAGAACTAGAAGCCACTAGTTTTCTCATCTTATCTTTGGCATCCCCATTCCTCCACCCTCCACACCCATAGGATTTATTTTCATAGGTCTTGTGTCTCAAGAAAAGTCTTGAGTGACTGTGGCCACAGCTTAAGGTTGAGGAATTACTAAGAAAGATATCAAAGCACTATTTGACCTAGACTGTCAGATGAGAGATAATATGAATGAGAAATTTTGCATTTGCACATATCATCCCAACATAACCTCAAGAAGACATTGGTTCATAGAAAAGATAACTGATCACAGAAGGGAAGTCACTAGCTCAAGTTCGTGTTGAGAATACTAAGAATGTTTTTTATCGCTTCACGATCTATTTTCTTTGCCCACCTTGTCCC